TTCACATGCTACTAGATAGTTGCATGGTGAAAAACAATGTATGACTGGTTTAAAGCTCCTCATGAGTAGTGTTTATATTCATTCAAAATTGTTCGGACAATATTCAAATATCATTCATGTGATTGATATTTGAATATCATGAATACAAACACTATAAAAAAAATATTGATCCCTGAAATCCTTGATATGCAAATGTTCACTTTGTCTGATTTTGTTGCAGTATGCCCCATATTATAAAACTGTAATACCAATGTTCACTTTGTCTGGTTTTGTTGCAGTATGCCCCATATTATAAAATTATCCCAATTAATTTCTTTATGGATCAACCAATCACAGGATAAGCCCGCCAAAATTAAATTTGTGAATACAGCCATTATTTTTTCCTTGTTTATTTTATGGAACATACCCTTATTGCTTTTTTCAGTTTCTATTTTTAGTTGGTTATGAATTCACGCACAACAGTATTATATTTGCCAATTTTGCATCGAAATGGAAAAACATCTTTCCTAAATAGTAAAAATATATAATGTAAAAGGCTACATGAATATAAAGTTTGTGTATGAGGTTTAGTTATTTTCTGCTTTTGAGAAAACTTTTCTCCATTCGCTCACGTTAGGTAAAGATCTAGCACATTGACCTTCTGTCGGCCATTGGATATTACCAGTATTATATTTATTTTTCCCTATTAGCCTGATATAAAAAAATATATTCAAAGAAATTGAAGAAGTCCAGAGTATATTTCAGTGGCAGACCTGATACCATAAACAAAATATTTATTAACGTAATTTTTAAAACGGCATTCTTGAAAAAAGATGGAGGAGGAACAAATTCTCCAAAAAATAATTACAAATTTTTTTCATACAGGTAATGAATGCTATACAAAATTGGACCATTTTTTATTCTGTAGCATGCAAAAATTTTTTTTTTTTTGAATTTAAAATAATAAAATTCCTTTTTTATTCATAAAAAATACAGCCGTGATTTTTTTGTAATGTTGCAACTCTATTATTTTATTTTTTTTTTCATAAAATTCATATATATTTTACACGGAATCCACAGTTGCCCAAAGTAAATTATTTATTTTACATTTTTGAAAAATGCCAAGTTCCTATCTACAAAGCTGCATGATTTCACAATGAAAATACAAATGCAACTTTTGTCACTTGATAGCGAGTTTCGGTGAACCACGAATTAATTATTGATACTGTTCCTGATAATCTCCCAATTTGGACTAAGGTACCAAACTAATTTTAACAATTCATACCAATAATGTATGCAAATAACAATGCAAATAACAATGCAAATAACAATGCAAATAACAATGCAAATAATAATAGAATTTTCATAGAAATAATTGCAAACAATGTTAATGAAGCTCAAAAGAGACGACGTTGGATCCATTTTCCAAAAATGGGTTTCTATGCGTGTAACCAATAGAATCTTTGTTTTATTGCATTTCTATCAGGTTCATCTTCAGCATCATGACGTTGTTTTTTACGTGAAAAGTAGTTGAATACGTTTTACCTCTAATATTAATCCTTATTTTGATGATGAAACTTTTAATTTATGCAAATTTTATATGCCTTCGACTACTTTGATTCGCATAATTGTAAAAAGTCAAGATGAACAAGAACAAGATGAAAAATTTTTAAAGAGGGGAAATTCGTGAGCTTTGAGAAATGCTAAAGCTATTTAAATCGGAGTATGTAGACATTCAGTACTGTACTCTTTTGCATTCCTGTATCGTATGGTCTACAAAAATAGAAATTTTTTTAAAAAAGTCATACACCAACATACAGTACACAGCACCCCCCACAAATGGATTCTGTACTCGCAACATTTAATACAGAAATGCTGATTTGCAGATCATACAGTACAAGAATGCAAAAGAGTACAGTACTGAATGTCTACCGACTGTTTAAATAGCTCAGCAATAAATCCAACGGACTTTCATTGATACAATAACAAGAATGATTTTTGTTGAGTCATAATGACTAACAATCCAAGCTTCTATTTAGAAGGGTTTGTTTTGCATTAAACCCTATTCTAATTTCCAATTAAAGAATATCTTCTAAAGTGTCAAATACAAGTTCTTTTAAATTACATTTGAACTTTCTGTAATGATCATATGCAGAGCACGAGACCAGGCGGTTCAACATCATCAAAATCAAATCATATTATTAGTTAGTGTAATTGGTCTTCTTAAAATTGACATGAACCAAATCTTCGTATAACTTTCAATAAACAATGTAAACTGATAGATCTTGATGAAACCTATTGAACTACTTACTTTAAGACATTTTGGATCGATCGAGTTTTAACCCGAGATATAACGTTTTAAAATGGTTAAAATGGTGCGAGTTATCTTAAATTTTAGTTGGTATTGGGATAAATTGATATTCCGCCCAAATTATAATGCTAGAATCATATTTTATTTTGTCACGTGTATGTTATCAAAATTCTTCGCCAATAAAATTTTTTTCCAACAAATATTAAATCACATGACTTATAATCATACTCTAAAGTTAATTTTTTTGCGACACTATTACAATCGACAATCCTAAAATTTCTTTGTTTGATATGTAAAAGAACATGACTTTATGCAGGAATAAAACATCAATTATGCAGGTAAATTATGCAAATGAATTTTTTTATTGGATCTTTTGCATAATTGAACATAAAAAAGTAAATATAATTGATTTCTTTAATGAGTCAACAGCTGATAGTTTAAGTCTTGGTGATCGTTATCCAAAAGAGAAATGTGCATCGTTCCACGCAATTTTAGAAACTATTGTAACATACCTAGCCAATATTGATTTAAATCAATATCATTTGAAACAATTCGTCGCTTGGATCTTGTAATTCAGTAATTATACTATAGTTACGATATCTTTCCCTGATATGTTTGTTATAAGGAGGAACGAAGGATTAAATACTTGATATGCACTAAAATTTTGTCCAGGATGATTTGGAATATGATAACTGGATAAAAAATAATCTGGATTAAAAAATAATGACCTAAAATCCTTTCTTCTAATTCACTGATGCAAAAAAAAATGGCTAGTTAATATATAAGTGAAAGTCTAAGTTCAACGTAATGTAAAATGACTCATTTTGTGTTTGAAAAAATAAAAAGATCAAGATCCTGCACCAATTTGTCTATCAAAAATTATATACCATGATGATAATTCAGTAGAGATGTAACTTCATTAAGAGTTTCATGTCCAAAATTCGAAGACAAGAAAATCTTTCCAGTATGCAACATGTTTGTATTGGAAGTGGAGCTTTTCTTGGTGTAAGGACTCCACTAAACCTTTTGCGTACCGTGCTGGTGATTTAACAAAATAATATTTAACCAGCTTGACATATTTAACGTTCACTAGGTTCTATTTGAATAATAATTAATCAATTAGTAGTGTTTATTAATTAAATTTATATTTAGTAAAAAATTGCAACAGTATTTGCTTACCCATTACAATGTATATATGAATTAGTTTGTGACGTAAATGGTTTCAAGGCTTCACAAAAGGATTTTTTATTGTATTATGCTGAATCAGAGACAAAGTATGTTAAACTCTGAATGGATACTAGTTTAGCATGTTTCTTGAACAGTCAATCATCTTTGACAATTCGTCTATTACAAATGGCAAATAAACTTGTCTTGGAGTAGGTGCTTGTGGTATAGACCCTTCCCTCACGCAAGTAAAAATGTAATAATTTCTAATGCTTAAAATTAATTTTTAAACGACTATTACCTTCGTTGAATCGAATCAGCTGAAGGGATTGATGAATGGAGTGTTGTTTTTGGCAATTACTATTATTTTCACAAATTCCTTGTTTTTTACATTGGCGACCGGCAGAATGGATTACAAACAACTCAAAAAAGGATAACCTCTACATTTGGATGTTCATTTAATCCCGTAAATGTACTGACTTTAAATGCTGATCATGCAATAATTATTAATCATGCATGCATTACGCAAAGTGCATAATGCATGCATGTTACAGTAAAGCACAACAATAAAAATAATAATAAACATAAGCACCCCGGAATATTCTCCACAAAAAATATTTTCACAAAAAAAACCCCCTTTAAAAAATTGATACGTGACTGAACCCAATAATTAAATTCATGCAAAAAAAATCATAATTTTATTTCTTAACATTAATAAAAATATATAACATATATATATATACACATATAAACCTTATAACCCCTAAGAACAAAAAAAAATAGATGCTTAAAAGTGTGCTTATATTAAAGTGAATAGTGAGTGTACTTCATAATGATTACAAGTCTGGGAAATCTTTGGAATGATAAACGAAAATACGATCGATTACTTGTTTTTGAATCAGGGATATTCTTTATAGAAAAGGGAAGGAAAGTTTTAATGATGAATTTTTTTTAAAAAAAATTGAATCAAGTTATAATTACTTTGATTAGATATATTATGGGTATTCTTACCTTTCGAATAAATAGCGTAGAAAATAACTATATAAAAAATATTAGTAATTAATTAGTAAAGCTTGCTTTTTAAATATTTCCAAAATAAAAAATTAATTAAATAATTACACGAAAAAGAATAATATATCGGATAAACCGAATCGAGCCGACCAAATCGAAATTAACCGATTAAAAAAATTTTTTTTTGGAGAAAAAGAAAAGAAAAAATAGCACGATTAAAAAAAAAGCAAGGAAATAAAAACTTAATATTTTCTTTTCAATTTTCTCAAAAAAAAAAATTTCAAGAACATTATTAAATCGTTGATTTTAAACATAATTTTTTTTTACTCGGGCTATCTTTTTCCTATTATAATTCTATTATTGCTTTCTCTTCTCATCCAATTATATATAATAAGCGCACAAAAATGCTTCTCAAGAAAAAACAAATCGTTATGTAATCTGAGTAATTTAAAGAAAACAATGAAAGACTAACGTTATTGCATTTATTTTCTAATTCTCACATATTAGGAAGCTATATAAAGATGAATTTAATCAAATCTGATTTCCTCATATAATGCAAGTAATGAATTTAATTAATACATAATTCTCAATTCTCAATGGTTGTAAATTTATATAACAAGTTTTAATCAAGTATATTTATTTACTTATTATCGTGAACTACAAAGAATACTGCATATCGATTATTATGTATGTCACAAAGAAGGAAATTTCAGGGATCAGATGGGTACCGCACCCACTATCTGGTGAAAATGGATATGTTTGATTTCATTGGCTGAAAGTTATGGTTGTACTGGTTCGGTCCCGGCTTTAAATTCAAAGGCCGGGCAGAACCGAAAGACCGGCTTTTTAAATGTGATCTTGGGAACCGGTCTTTTGACCGGTTAAATAATATTTCAATGTTATAAAAATAAAAGCAATCATAAATTTTATTTCTCTTATTGGTTTAAAAATTGTGATTATTTAACTCGTTTGTTTGTTGAATTATTGGTAGAAGAGTGGCTCGAGTTGTGTTTGGATAGAATTAAATTTAAAAGGTCATTTTACTTCTTTTGCTTCACATTTTGAATCAATCTAAAAACTTTCGACTAAAATCGAAATCCGAGCTCCGAAATCGAAATCGAAATGGAAAAAACAAATATAGTTTGAAATTCGAATTTTATCGAATGAATGTATGAGCCATTATTAAAATTGCACCGTACCACCCTTTTGAGTCTGGCAAATAAGATTCCGAGTTGTAGAATTATTATTATTTGCTGCAATAGTTTGATTTCAATTTTGAAATTATGTAAGTTTCTTGATGAATTACAGAATACGCCTTTAGATTAATAACGTTACTTGACCTCTCTTATTGACATTATCTTGTTTATTTTTAGTCATTTATTGTATTATTTATTTATTATTATTTATTATTTATTACTTTATTATTTGTTACTTTATTACTCTATTAATATTTATATTAATATTTTGTCACATTGTATTTCGGCGTACGCGTTATTTAATTTATATTGGTCGGCAAAGTCGATTGAGACTACAAAAATCGACAAAGTCGATGAGGTACTTAGTATGCAACGTCGTCAAAGCTAATTAATTAGACATATTCGAGGAAGTAGTCCTCTAATGAGGCATTATGTTTATAAACAACTCGAATTCAATGTACTTGGCAAACTTCGGCAATAACTTTTCTTGAATAAAAGAAAATAATAACAAGTTTTGACTTGAGAAATAATCTAATGATATCCAAAACTATTTGTTAATAAATACCCTGTTCAGTTTGATCCTCGTAACCTATTGTTTTTGTTTAAATTCGCTCTCTCAAAAAATTATTCAGCGACATAATAAAAAAGTTTTTTTTTGAAATCTGTTACACAAAGACCAAAGTTTCAAAATTAGGAAGACGAGTTTATCTTGGTGATCGTATTAGTCACGTGAGAGACATTTATTTCGCGAACATGAATAATGTACTACGAAAAGCATCATACTTTAATTGTAATTTCAAATTGCTACGTGCTTTCTTCAAATTTCTGTAAACTGATTCACAGCTCATTTCTGCTGGTAAAATACAAGTGATTGAGTTAATCGATTTATATTTCTCCCTGTGCCTGGTAATCATAATTTTCAAGAAAATTTTTACAACGATAGCAATATTTTTGTCAGTTACCATTCATTTTTGTTTTTCATTAAGGCATTTTCTTTACAACACCATGAACTCTTCAATATAAGACCACTGTTCATTATATGATTTCTTATATCTTTAAAATAAGCCTACCCGGCATATTAAGGTATGTTTTTTAACAAAGAGGTGTATTGTGATCCAGTTGTAGAAAGTTCTTTTTATTTGATAAAGCTTTCTCTTTGAGATATCCGCTAGCACTTATTGATTTGATATAAGCTGAGCCGTCAAGAACACGTCTTGTAAAGAACTTGAAAGCTCAGAAAACCTTTCTTTTGAAACTTGGCTAGCAACCAAAGGCATTTGAAACAGCCTTTAATCTGTTAATCGTTTCGTCTAATGTTGTTGGCATGGATGATCGAACAGGTACAAGGAACTCAGGTCTTAATTCATCCATAAGTTGACGAATTCTGAATATATATTTTCTGGATCTGCCTTTGATTCATTCATCTAAAGAAGCTCCTCCCCCACAGTTTCACCAATCTTTTAGTTTTTTATTTCCAAGTTGAACAACCACAACTTACTTTCAAAAAATGGAATGCTTTTATATTCATTAGTATTTGCTACTCATATATATATTAACAATTCTGGTAATATTTATAGGCTATTAATAATTGTTTATTTATCCATTGATTCCAAAGTACAAAGTAGGAAATTTTAACAAACTTCATTGTATCACAAAGATTTGAAGGACTATTTTTACATTGTTGATCCTTTGAAACCACAGTCAGTATATATATATTTTTATTAATATTGCATGTTAAAAAAGTGAAAATAATAAATAAATCAAAATCAGATTTAATTTATGAAATTTAATATAACAATGAAAATTTTGATAATAATTAATGGCGATAATGGTTCATAATAATAGATAGTCAAATTCTGTAGTATATTGGTACTTCTTTGTTTGACCTTTTCAATGTCTTGAATAAACCCTACGAAATACACAAATATTGGTCATACATAATTACCTTTCAAATGTAAAATGAAAATTAAAACATTCAAAAATTATCCTCTGCTATTGATGTATTATATATAAAATCTTCTGCAAGGTTTGATGCATGTGCAAAAAAGCCATCACTCAACACATCCATACAGACATTTATATCATCTACTATTTTCTTAAAATGTTCAGCAGTATGGAGGAGTAAATTTTTCTAGTTATTAATTGCAGGCATGCTGCTATAAGATGTGATCAATATAACAAAATGTTGCTAGTATTATCATAATTTCTATTATATAAAATATATTAGAAATATATTCCAACTGCAAAAATCATTTAAATATAAAAACTAAATCTATGCTAATAACGTGGAACGGTTTCCATTCCTTGCACGAACCTGTCATCTATAGGTGTTGAGAAATGGGCACTCAGTTTACTTGGTAGAAATTTCACATATATCTTTTAAGCTTGCTTCGATCATTTTCAGATTTAGTTATTAATCAAACCAGAACTTGTTGGTCTCGATAAACTCGCCAAAAATTGAGAGAGAAAATTTCCTGATAAGATCGATAATCCCTCCATTCTTTAAAACCCGCCAGAAGTCATATTCGTTTCCTTCACCTGGACATTTTTATCCCTAAAATGTCAATTTGATTATACTTGCTATACTTTTTAAAATTATAATATATTTAAAAATACATACAGATATTTTAAAGCTTTTTGACAGACTTGTATCTCTTAAATTTCATTAGTATAGGCCGGAAATATGACTTCAGAATTTTGAACATTGCATAAGCTCTTAATCCAATTTATTAGCCGTGTATTAACATGGATGTTTATTAAAAATTTAAGATCTTGATTCATAACACTATCCAAGTCAATGGTAAATGAAAGCAAAAGATTATTAAACCCAACGAAGAGATATCACCATTAATCTTAGAACCGCAAATTTGTTGAATCATGTCAATTGAGTTTGTCATTGTCCATCTTTGTTAACAGTTTTTACCATTCAACAACGTTTGGGTGCATCCTAGACCAAAGTATTGTGTTGACCTTTCATATAAACTACAAATGTAATCTATATAAATAATACATTTTACCTTTATTTCTCGATACCTCCTTTTAACCTTTGGTTTGTTGCTGCTTCCGTTCTCATTTCTCATTTTTCCAATTCTGAATGTCTTTTTTTCTGGTTGAGGAAAGTGACCTTTTTCTTGGTACGCTTATACGTAGACAATTTCTAACCAAATCAAATATTAAAAATAAAAATATTTTTTGCCTTCTTGTTCCTTGTATCCTTGTTTAGAAATAATACCTAAAAATGGCCATTAAATCTAAGAATATTGATTAAAAGAAAAAATTAAGCAAATCGTTATTTCTATATACAGTTCACTCTCTCCTATAATGAATGGATATTTCTATAATGTATCTTGTTCTATAATGGACTGAGGATTTAAGCCCCATTTATATGTCCCATATATATAAATCATTACGGGCATTTTTTCCTAAGCCAAATGGTCTGTTACTAATGCAAATTTTTTTAAAAAGTGCTACTTCCCCGACGGTCATTATATATTATATTTTTACTTCACCTTAAATTTTTTCGTTCTTTAATCGAAAACTTCTTTTGCTAATTTACTTTCGATTAAATCTATGGACATTCCTTCTTTGGAATTTGCCAAGTTTTTATTGTTATATTATTATATTGTTTCGTTATTTTGTCCTTATTTCAGATTTAGTTTTTTTGATCCTCTTTATAAAGGTTAATTTTTTTTTTTTTGATTTTGGATTGGGTATAAATTTTCTTTATTATATTTTTCTATATAACAGTGTCCCACAGCTTTTCTCTTGTTTGCCTCTCCTTTCTCTTAGTAGAAGAACATTTGGACTGGCACCTTTTTGGATTCTCTTTTAATTCCTATTTCTTTTAATTGTTGAACGATCAATACTTTTTAAATCTTTCCTTTCTTTTGGTTCCAAGTTTTGTTTAATTATCCATCTTCTTTTCCCGTTTATCGAACTATATAGTTGGTACTTGGTGCTTGGTGATTTGGTAAATTTCTGATATTTCATTATCCTGAGAACACTGCTTGGATTTTTCCTGTATTCAGTTATCAAAATCATTTCTTCAATGAAAAATCACATTTGAAATCTTTCCGCAGTTCAACATTCTCAGCGTGCTTTGACCACTAATTAATTTACTTGATTTATAATTTTTTCAGGCTCTATTGAATTAATTATTTTCATCGATTTTTGGTTTATATTATAGAGGTGGTTCTTGAAAATGTTATAATAGGTTTATATTCCCTTCTGTATAGATAGATAAAGTTCAATATAAGAGAGAAAAGCTGAACCAAGAATCTATAGGAAAATTCGCTTGTAAAGTAAGCATTTCGTTAAATTACTGAGAAGTATATTTGCAATTTGATTTTTTATGAATAATAACAAATATAGTTTTAGGTTTTTATATTTAATAAGAGTTATGAAATTAATAAAATAAAATAAATTTTTTGAATTTTTACCTCCTATTTATACTTAATCCGATTTGAGGTGTAACGTGAGTTTGCCTTAAAAATAATTAATAATATACTAGGTGTAAACCGTCTGCTTCGCTGACGGTTTACATCTAGAGCACACTATAAATAATCTTGTAAATTTTTTTTTTATTCGAAATTATTTAATACTGTAAATTCATAGCATTAATAAGTTTAGTTGCGTTTATTATAAATATGTATAGATTTAAAAAAATAACAGTTTTGATTGACATAATTTTGTTAAATTTGATTTCATGTCACATTATCAAAGTTAGAGAATAATCAAAAACTAATACTAATGAAAAATATAATATTTTATTGTGGAATTTTGTTGGATCACAATTAAAAATCATTTACATGCGGTAGTCTAAAAGTTACGCATCACAACATATTTATTTACGTGCTTGTGGTAGTCTAAACGTAACCCAATGATACAATAATAGATAGATTGCATGTGGTGGTCTAAAACGCCACGCATCACAACATATTTATTTGCGTTATTGAACAATTCAAAAAAATTATTTATGCGTGGCAGCCTAAACGTTACGTTTATTTATGCGTGGGCGCCATTCTAAACGTTAGGACACGTGAACGCAACGTTTTTAATATAATAGATATAGTAATAGTTTATTTTTTATCTTGGATTCTTGCAGTATTAGAGTATTAGAACAATTTTAATTTTTTTTTTAAAAAAAATTTTTATTTTGAAAAAAAACTTTAATTTTTACACGTTATAACTATATAAAAAGTAACTAAAAAAATATAATAGAAAGTGTAAATAATAATAATATAAATGTTCTTGTCTACGTAATATCAAATCTGTGTCCTGTTTTTCCTGGTTTTTTACCCTTTTTGCTTCTTGTTGTATTACTACTTTGTCCAGTTGTATTACTACTTTGTCCAGTTGGTTTTATTTTTGATTCATGTATTTGTTTTCTAATAGCATCTTCAATTTGACTTACACAAAATCTATATATTTCAAATGTGTGTGAAGCCAATAATGTTTCTGGAAATAAATCAATTACTGCTTCATCAATTTCTGAAGACCAGAAATTCAAATCTATATCTGTTAAATAAACACTCAATGGATGTTTTGAGTAATCTTTTGATTCTACTGACAAAAATCTCAACATAAATCTTTTCAATGCTACAATAAGTGCATCTGCTGGTATTTTCTTTGGTGTTTTCTTAGCTGTCAATGTTGGTTGTTGTTGATTATTAGTAAAATCAACTACATCTGTAATTTCATTCTCTTGTTCTGATGTCAATCTTTCTTTATAAACATCATTAATATACTCAATCACTCTGTTGGCCACCTGTTCTTCTACAAATTCATATAATGCTACTACATGCTTTAAGGTTAGACCTGCATTTAATAAATTTGCAAATGTAGGTTTTGTCGTCAATGATGATAACTTCATCCATTGTGCCACATAATCTTGTATTAATGTGTCTTCCTGCCCTACTGCATTGCGCTTAACGAAACATAAAAGTACTTCTAGTGATGATAAAATGTCACTTGCATCATCTAAAACATAATTATTTGTATATTGTGTTGATGATACAAATATATTATTATTTATGTTTCCTGCTTCTCCTCTAATCAATAATATTTTTTCAGTAGGAATAGGTTCTTGTGGAATTATATTTTTAATGTCACTGAGAATTCTCGAATATCCTTGGAACAATTCCATATGGTATGAAAATGGTTCTAAATATAATGGTAAATCTTGTACAGTTTCAATATATGCTTTATCAAATACCAACCAACGTGCAAGTTCAAGTTCAATCTTTTGCAAGTCATAAATAACATCATCACCACGTCCAATAGCAAGGATTCTTTGACTATATTGAAGAATATCTTCATCCCACTCATAATCAATTACATTTGATTTTCTTAATTGGCTTGCTCTTGATGATTGTATATAATATTGATTAGATACTTGTGGATTATTGGCTTGAGCTGTTGTTGAACTACTACTACTATCATCACTGGATGTTGATCCCACATCAACTTGAGGTGGTTTTTCTAAAAATTTTAATGATTTACAAGATCCATTTGGAATTTTTGTGATTTCTTGCAAGAAATTATTTTGTAATGTCACAAGGTAATTTATAATTGCACAAATAAATATCCCTGTATCTTTTTCTTCGACTATTGCAAAAACAATTGGGCAGGAGGACATGTTAATACAAGATTATGTGAAACAATGGATGAAATTGTCATTATTGATGATGAAACCTGCATTTGCAAATTTATTAAATGCAGATCTATCCTTAAAACATATAGTAGCATTGTATGAATTTGTAGAAGAACAGGTGGCCAACAGAGTGATTGAATATATTGATGATGTTTATAAAGAAGGATTGACACTAGAACAAGAGAATGAAATTGTAGCTGTAGTTGATTTTACTAATAATCAACAAAAATCAACATTGACAATTAAACAAAAAG